ATTTTCAAGAGACTCTAAGCTATATAATGACAAAGCTAAATTTATATTTGTATATTATGTTTATGCCCCGCTTCCTTCTCGTTCTAACTATAGTTTCACATTTCTACAAATTTCAACATCCTTTTAATATCGCAATTGTTATTGCTCTTTCTATTTTTAGAAAAATAATATCTGGCATCCATATTACATATATTTTGCAAAGACAAAAAAAAAAAGAACGGCTAATAAGGGCATGCCAACTTCTACAGTATATAAGTTAAATAAATTATGCTTTCTAAAAATTCCCAGTCTAAAATAAATTTCACCAACATGAAGTCACTGATCTTAAAAAGATACGAAGGTAAAAAAACTAAATACACAAAACAGATTATTATCTTTTATATAGAATTAACAAAATGAATATTCCCTATAGCCCCATCTATTGCCTTCATAAGCAGAGCCAAAGTAAAAATCACATCTAAGAGAATCCTTTTTGCATATCTTATTAAAATTCCTTTAGATTTGCCTTGAACCTATCTCATAATGAGATATATAGGTGGTATATAAGTAAGAAAGACATAGAAATATTGTCTAATAAGGACTTTTATCCAATCTTACAAATCAATAACTGGGAAAATACAGTATTAATTCATGAACTCCCTAGACACAGTCCAGAGAGACTTTCTCAATGCATTCACATCAACTGTGAGAACAGTCCCCAGGAGCTTGGTGACAAAATCACTATTGTGGGTATGGCCCTGGTGACTGGCATGCTTGTAAAGGCTAGAAATGCCACCTAACAGGGGTATATTGTCTAGCACCTGAGAACAGGAGCAGAAATAAATACATCATTGGGAGGTGGATAGAACATCTGAAAGCAGTTTTATAAGGGCATATACAGTTTTTTCCCTCTTGGCAAAAAAAAAAAAAAAAAGAGAGAGAGAACCACAATAATTACAGATTTAGAATATAAAATTTCCAAAGAATCATTACAGGAATTGAAATTACTACTCAGGAGAAAACAAAAAGACAGAATGAGGGTTCATTCATTAATGTCCTTCTACTTTATGAATGGGCTCATTTATGAGAGACAACACACCTTCTGGTCTCCACATTTGGTGAAGCTAAAGAAGTAAGTAGATGTGACATAACAAAATGCAGAATTATGAGGCTGGTAAGCCTAAGAAGAAAAGTTATCAGGACTTTTGAACAGTATATATGTCTGAAGTTCACCAGATCAAGAATCATAGGACCTTTATTCTAGCATTGTCAAATTTAAACCAACGTGACATAGACAACTCACGTAATATCTCTGGACTCAGTTTCCTCATCTGTATAATAAATGTAGTAGGTTAATATAAAAAGCAAAGAAAAATGATGTCATGACTACAAGCATGGACTCGGGATTCAAATTGTCTTTGTCATTTACTGCTTGAATGACTTTGGACATATTCCATGCCCTGGAGTCCTGATCTATAAAAAGTAGTATCATCCACATAGGTTTGCTGAGAAGATTAAATGAGTTAACACAAGTGAAGCACTTAGCACAGTGCCTGACTCAATTAGGATTAGCTGTTGTTTTAGTTGTTTTGGGTTTGTTTGTTTGTTTTTTGTTTTTGTTTTTGCTATATCTATTATGTGTAAGTAACAGAAGCTAACTTGACTAATTATACAAAAAAGGAGTTTATTAAAAGGGCATTTGTTCACAGAAACTTTGGATTTGGAGAACCAGAAACAAAGGCAAGCTTTTAGGAATGAACCCTAAAATCATATCACAAATCTGGAATGATAAGAAAATGCATCCACCATCACAGAGTGCTCAACACTGAAGTTGACACCATTATAATCTCTGCAACAGAACTTAATTTTATTTTATTATGACTATGACTGTCCTAACTGCAAGGGAAGCTAGAAAAGCAAGTCTCTGACATGTTAACTGCTATAGGAAAAGGCAATTTTGCCCAAATTCTCCAGATGTATAAAAAGTTCTGACGCGTGACTAGAATGAAATCAGTTTGCTTGACCTTCATGCTAAGATTTATTGCTTAGAATTATTTGTTAAAAGTTGTGTGGTTTTATCCAAGAAGATGGTATACATAATCTCTTAAAGGCTCTACGGTTCCATAATGAAAGGCTTAAAATATCTGACAAAAGGAACTTCCAAATACTCTTGACATATACGCTGAGTTACTAGGTAGGCTCAGCATTCAATATTTAAATTAAAACCACTGGATTTATAGATAGAATTGGGTCTTCAATTTTTAATTTACGTAGTTGAATATTTTTATCCATTTATATGTGACTAGAGAGAGTGAATGGTTTCCAAGTCTTAGACTGGGGAAAAGATAAAAGTTCACAGAGTTGAATGAATATTCCCTCATGAAAAACAAAAACCCATATTCTCTCTCTGAACTATTAATATATTTATTTGTACTGCTGGGAGAATGCATTCCACAAGAAGAACATCAGCTAGAAGGGGAAAGAGCAGTCATAACTGGGTTTATCTATTTTAAACTCTACAACTATAAAAAACTGTGCCTAAAATACCAGCAATCCAGCTCCCAACTGTCCTTCCCATGTGATGGACAGCTATTCTGACCCCATGACTAATGCCCAGTGCCCGTCTTAAACTGGCCTGAACCTTGATCACTGGTACATTCTCAGCCCAGTGGGTGGTTCAGAGAGCACATCTCCCCTGGCGCATAAACTTCATGGCATCTCTGAACTAGTCAGACTCTTTGTGATCCCAAAAAATATTCTTGGAGAAACTATTTCAAGTGTTTATAGAAACCATTTGAAGACAATTAATAAGCTTTCCTGTCCAATTATTTTGGCTGGTGAGCAGATGACTCCTTCTATACACATGATATGCACAAAATAGTTTGGTGACATTTTCAGCAATTATACCAAGAAAGTTGAAGGGAAAATAAAAAACTTCAATATGCTCATTGCCTATTTATTTTCAAACTATTAGACAAAACTTTCAAATCAGTAATTCTGGAATAATCATTTTACTATTACGGGATGAAAGTTTGGTTTCCTCAACCTGAAGAGTAAAAATACTGCCAGATTCATTCTAAGTTTTTTTCCAATAACCTATTGAATAGTATATGTCTAGACATTTAAGATATACATACAGAAATGGCCTCAGAGAGATCACCATCAACCAAATGGAGAGAGTTGACCCAGGGAGGCAAACTATAGTCTGGGAATCAAAATATGCCTCTCTGTAAGCAGCAGATGTAATGTTCTCCCCTCAAAAATTGTGTGAAAAAATAATTGGAAATTGAAAATGATTTCAAATGCAGCAGAAAGTTTGCAATTTAATGGTATGATAAAAATCTTTCATGAATAAGTATTTAAATGTATGAATCTATGACAAGTATTAGGCTTTCATATAACAAGGCAACAAAATGAGAATTAAGCTGATGGATTCTGAAACCAGAATGCCTGGGTTCAAATCTTCATTTCACTTCCCAACCACATAATTTTAGCAAATTACTTAAATCTCTCTGGGCTTAGTAAGTCTTTTGTAAAATAGGGATAGTAACCCATGACATTGAGGATAAGAACAGTATCTGACATATAGCAAGTATTTTATAGGTATTTGTTTAAAAAAAATAAAAGTAAACAAAATCCTTACTATATCTGTAAAAATATCAAATTTATAATTTAGGAAATTCTTGCCTGAGATACCAATTGGATTCCTAAGGGTTTTTTTTTTTTTTCCCTATAAGTATAAAATATTTTCTTTCCCAGATTTCTCAGAAATACCAAAATTTTGCTAATGGATAATCATGCAAGAGTATAGAGGAAGAAAATAGTATAGGAACTCCTGAGGTAAATATTTAAATACTTAGTAAAATGAAAAACATCCAGTCATTTGAAGCATTTGGAAATTTTTCTTTTTAACTTATACATTATTATGTTTTCCCACTGTGTATCATTTTGTATTATAAAACTTTTTAAAGTATTAATTGTAGAAGTTAGTAATGCAGCTGATATTTGATCCCTTATAGTTTCTTTTCTTCAAAAATCACCAAAAAAAGTATAATGACAAAAAGCCTCAGCCATGTCTAAATGGAAAGTAAGTTTACCTTTCCCCAGCAAATGAACTATTTCAGATCAACAGTGGTGGATTAAGTCTATTCTTCATTTGGGGGCTCTTGAAGTTACATTAGATCTTTAACCTCTAGAAAAATAAAGATATTTGGCATCACAAAGAAGCACCAATACCACTCCTCCCCAAACAAGGACATTAAATTAACCAAGGGTTTGTTAGGACAAAGGAAAAAACTAGAAGCTAATTCTATTTGGACAGAGAATGGCATTATTTCCCACAAAGAAATTTAATATTAGTCAGCATCTCTCACTATCTTATCAACTTTGAAAACAGATTTAAGTTCCTCACCAGCTACCCCCAAAATTAGCCAGCCCCTCCTTCAAATGATAATCTTCACAATGTTTCTATTTAGAATCTTCAAGGAGGCAAGAAGAGAATTACCAGTGAATACACATCACATGCCAAGAGCTGTGCCACGCATATCTGATGCATTATCTCCTTTAATCAAAAGCCGATATTATCCCCCACTTTGCATATGAGAAAATTGAGGTTCTGAGAAGTCATTTGCCCAAGGCCCCATAACCAATGAGAGCCAAGCAGTACAGTTACAGAACTCTTAGCACCACACCATATATCCTTAAAGTGAAATTACAGCCCCAGCCCCAAATTATTGCCAGATCCTTTGATGATTAGGCTTTGATGAATGACAACAGAAAAAAATTATAACCCCTTATATTTGTTTAGCACTTTACAAGTTTCCACATGCTTACATATATCATGGTATTAAAATACACACAAGAGACTTTGATAATTTTTATCCTCTGACCATTCAACATTTATTTGTCAATGATAAATATGTTTCTTATTGTGAAATGATTCTGAAAAATAATTGAGAAACTTGATCTAAAGATTCTCTTGTTTTCTTCTTTCCCTCATACAACCTACTCTGGATTTGCAGGAGAATGGACAAAGAAAATATGGTGGTCCTCCACCTGGTTGGGATGCTGCACCCCCAGAAAGGGGCTGTGAAATTTTTATTGGAAAACTTCCCCGAGACCTTTTTGAGGATGAACTTATACCATTATGTGAAAAAGTGAGTCCAAATTTAAATTATCTTTTAAGGGAAAAGTACTATTCTCTTCACTCTTTTTTAATACTCATTCTTCTTGGTCAGTGATGGTTTCTCTTCCAATTGCTATTCCTCAAGCAGTTAAAACCTTTCCACCTGTTAGTGATTGTCACAATTATCATTGCCTTCACTCAGCACTTTGTCCTGTTACTGACAGCTTGACATCAGCTGTTACAGATATCATTGCTGATGACTTTCAAATCTATATCTCAAGCCTCGATCTCCAGTGGCATGTCATATCACTGCAAACTCAATGTGTCTGTCAAAATAAAATAACGCTACAACAACCTGTCTAAAAAGAAAAAAAAAGGGTTTTTTCTCAACACTTGACATTTTAATGTGTGTGCAACATTTTTACATAAAAAGAACACGGCTCAAACATGTGATTTTATGTATTGATCCAGAATGAAATTTTCTTCAAGTTTGAATTTCTTGTCTGCCCAAATGCATCAACAAGATTAATAACATGGGTTCTCAAAGTCATTATATAATAACTAAGGAATAATAATTCCTCAGTTTTAATTCCAATTATTTTAAACCCTAAGTTAAAAGAAAAAAAATTCAGTTATTTTCAATTTACCAAGTAGTGTTTAAACAACCACATTCCTAAAAATATATATATGTGTATATATATATATAGCATAAATGAATTTAGCTATGTCTTTCGTTAAATGCCCAAATCAAGTGTGTGTGTGTGTGTGTGTGTGTAACTCAGCATCAGATTCAGAACTGCTCCTAATTTTATGCATGTGGCATGTGGACAAATTATGAGAACTTAATCCTATAAGAACCTTATATCTTGAACCTGAAAATGAACAACAAGAAATACCTGAAACACAGAAATGAAATATGCTTGGACTCTTTCCTAATAAGCCCAGAAGAAATAAGTGCCCCTCACTGAATACTTTGGGGAGGGGCAAGGCTTAGATGAGGGGTAACCAACAACTATGGTAATAGCATATGTTTAATAATGCCTCTTCTCCCTGCACATGTCCCTCATATTTTTGGGGTCACCCTTCTTATGGCAGCCAGCAATAATGAATTGCTGAGTCTGGATTTCTGGAGAACATATAGGTACCAAGTAGAAGTAGTATATAGGCAAAGCAGAGGAGCTGTAATCAGAGGCATAGCGAGTGCCCTCCTACTATAGAGTTCCTGGCCCTGGATCAGGTGTTTTAAGATTAGCATTGACCTTCAGCCTACAGAACTGTGAAAATAACAGGGCTCTCCAGACGATCCCCTGAAACACATCTTCTGTATTCATTTTGATGTCATAGTGAGGGAAAAGATAGCTAAGAAAGTTTATCAAAGTTCCAAGTAAGTGTTCCTGGGTTTTGTTTTAAATATTAGCAGTAGAGTATGACCAAGTAAAGATAAAACTATGGAGACTTCAGAGGTCAATGGAGAAGGCAAGGACAAACCAATCAAGAAATTGTACTTCTGATGACAATGTGTTTTCAGGTCCCTAAAGCATTGTATAAATCCCCAGATAATGGTGTGGCAAAAGGTCATCTGCTCTGTGAGAAACAAATTCTGTTAACTCAGGCTGAAATGCTACTTGTACAATTTTGTTTGTTTGTTTTATTTAATTTGACTTTGCCCATGAGTCAGATACTAGACCTGAAACTAGCATGAAAATTTGCAAACCATTTCACCTAGGGTGCAAATGCCAAATATGGCAGTGATAGACTTCAGAAAAACATTGTGTGCATGTGCATGCATACAAGCACGGGTGTGTGTGTGCACGTATGCATGTGTGCTCATTTGGAAGTACAAATGTATAAATATGAATTTCTCTTTTTTATTACTTATAGATTGGTAAAATTTATGAAATGAGAATGATGATGGATTTTAGTGGCAACAATAGAGGATATGCCTTTGTAACATTCTCAAATAAACAGGAAGCCAAGAATGCCATCAAGCAACTTAATAATTATGAAATTAGGTAAGATTCACCTCTTCTAGATTTAAAGTGAATCAGACAAGGCACCTGTATCTGTTCTTCTATCAAGTTTATCTAACACGGTATATGTAAAAGATAACCAAACCAGAAGTAAAAGAGGTTAGTTCTTTTTCTTGGGGAAAATCAATTTAATGAAATATTTATTTACTATCAACTCTATATAAGGTGCCAAATTAGGTTCTGTGAAATGTTTAAATAAATAAAATATATTAATTTATCCATTTCATAAATATTTTCTGGGCACAATTTATTAGAAATATATCAAGGTACACTTCCTGTCCTCATAGTAAACAAATGAATATATAAGATTATTTAAAAGAGTATAAAAAAATAAAACGAGGAAACAGGATCAAGCTGTATGAGGAAAAGTCAGCCATGACAGTCATACCTGGAGGAAGATTATTCACGAAAAAAAAAAGATCAGGAAGTGCAAAATGATCTCAAAACGAGAACAAATTTGACGTGTTAGAGGGACAGAAAGAAAGCCAATGTGGTGGGAGAGAGTCAAAAGAGGAGGGTTGAAGGCGATGCAGTTGGAGAGCTTTACACGCCATAAAGAAGACTTTGGATTTTATTCTAATAAAAGCGGGAAATTATAGGGCAGTTTTAATTAGATTCATGTTTTTTAAGACGTCATTTTGGCTGTTGGTAAAGAATGGACTACAGCAGAGTAAGGATTGAAAGAGGGAAGCCAGTGAGAGGCTGCTGCAGTACAGTAAATCTAGACGAGAGATGATAGTTGCACAGGTGTTTAGTAGCGAAGGTGGTGCAAAGGGTTAGATTTGGGATATATTTTGGAGGTTGAATAGATAAGACTGGCTAAATATCAGATTTAGAGTGTGAGTACATTTAGAATTCAGGGAGAAAACCTAGGATTTTGGTCCAAATATCTGAATGTGATAGTGTTGTTTTCTCGGCACTAAATATTAGAAATATATGAAGTTATACTCTATCATAATAAAATAGAACACTTATAAAAATACACTGTAATAAATGTTATGTGAATGGCTTTGGACCATTATTAAGTAAACAAAGTTAACTTGAACACAGCACTGCAGTATCATGACAGTGTTTGGATAACTCAAACCGCTACTCAGTGTACAAGTAGCATATACAGTGTGGATGCACTGGACAAAGGGATGATTTACATCCTGTTAGGATGGAGTGGGAGAGCATGAGATTTAATCATATTTCTCAGAATGGCACACAATTTAAAACTCATGCACTATGTATTTCTGGAATTTTCCATTTAATATTTTCAGACTGTGGCTGACTATAGGAAAACTAAAACCATGGAAAGTAAAACCACAGATAAGGGGGACTACTGTGCAATCAATCAATTTGCTGCAGACACTGATAAGTAACAGTATCCCCTGTAATTTTAGTGTCTTTATAAAATAGAAATAAAAATATATCTACCTCATTGGGCTGTTATAGAAAATAAATGAAATAATGCACGTAAAGCTTAGTACTTGACACATATTAGATGCTCTGGAAATGTTTGCTGATGATTATGGTGAAGGTGATGGAGGAGGAGGAGGGGAAGAGGAG